CGCGGGTGGTGGGCGCTGCTCGCGCTTCAGATGCACTTGGTGCGGGCGCTGGCGCAAGGTAGGCGCGGGGGGCGCGGGCTGGGGCGCCGTCTCGGGTGGGGTCCGGGCTGGGGGCGCCGCTGGGCTGGGATCCGCGCTGGGGGCTGTGCTGGAGCGGGGTCGGGGTTGGGGACGCAGCATCGCGAACTTTACCCGCGCTAGCTTTCGGGGTCCCCGGCCCACTCCCTCGGAGTGACGGGGTCAGGACTGCGGATCGCTGGATCTGGAGGCAGCCGAGGGGTTAATGCGGTGTGCCTTCTAATTCGCGCAGGAATCCGAGGGGAGGGAAACTGAGCTGGCTGGAGGATGCACCCTGCCTGCTGCCCTTTATTTTAATGACCCCCCCGCCCCACCGCGCCTCCTCCAAAGTTGAGACTCATGGTCGGTGCGCTCCTTACGCGATCGCGGGAGCGCCGTCCCATCGCACCGGTGGGACGTGGGTGGATTTCCATCTGTCTTTGCACCGCAGTCTTGTTACCGATGAGTGACATCGGCGGTGGACTTCCAAATATCAAGTGTCAGTCACCACCAGTCACCCTTTCCAGCTTCTCCCCGGGGTCCCGGCCATCCCCGGCCCCAAGTCGTGGGGCCCCGACCCCAAGTGGGTGCGGTACAGTTGGTGGAGCAAAAACTTTCGGAGCCCACAGCTTTGCCGCTCCGCTTTGTTTTCCTCCCTCTGTTGGCTTCTGTTTAGAATACAGTGGTGATCTCTAGAATCGAGAACGAAGATCTGCTGATTGCAAATGACCTTTTGAAAACGGAGGTGGAATCTCTTTTGAAAGGACCCTCACCCCCTCACCCCCTCCGTAAATCTCGATTTCCCCAATCAGTGTTATGCCCCTGTCAGCGTCCTGTTTTCAGTGAATGCTTGTGCGGGGTGGGGGTGGGGTCGACGACATATACTATGCCCTTCTGGTGGGGTCTTTAAAACCCATTAGTGAATCATGTTTGCTGTTGGCAGCTTTAGAAAAATTAACTGATGTTCATTTCCCGTGGCCTGGACTACTACTACCCTAGTAAGGATCTGGGTATTCTGATTTTATGGAAGGTGTGGGAACATTAAATTTAAAAATTAGCAATGTTCTGTCATATGAAGATAATTTATGTGTGGCAACATATAATGATTTAAGTGTAATATTGTAAAGGTCTGAACTCAAAATTATCAGATAGCTTTATCTAATAACTGTTAAATTAATGCTTATCTGTTATTTGAATTGTTGTCATCCTCTCCTCAGGGTTTAATAAATTTCTTTTTTCATGTTTTACTACATGAAAACAAATCACTATATTTCTAGTTAATTTAACTCCTCTCTTCCTTGTAAAATTCTCATTTTACTTATTTGTGCTTATTTTACTTAATGACTTAGTCTGGAAGACAAGCATTTATTAAGTCATTTTGTAGAATAGGATCTGTAGATTGTCAGAGAAGCCAGGTTCCAGTGAAGAAATCTAAGCCCTTAGGGTTCCCTTTAGATGGAAAGTAGTGTTTATTAAGTGCCTTTTTTTTTTCTTTAAAAACAACAATTTAATCTAAACTTGCAGTAAGACCTGTAGCTTTATATATTTGAAGATTTGTGACATTCCAGTGGTGGGGGGAAAAAAATCTGCCAGTGGCTTTGTTTTGAAGTATGTTACATGGAATTAAAGTTTTCATCAGTTACACTTCGAAGTTACATAAAATGTTGCATTTTTCAACTGAAATGTTAATTAAAATCATTAATTTAAAGAATGTACTAATGTAACAGCCAAACTTTGTTAGGGAGGAATTTTTTATTTCTTGTTGCCAGTAAAAACATTGGTACCTGTTTTACATTTGTATGGTTTATGGAAGTGTACACATCTTTTAGTGTAAGATTTCAAATAGGTTGTCACAAATTTTAAATTCATTGACAGGTTTCTGTTCTCTGTGCTCTGTGAAATGTGTAATATATCCATCATTTTTTATATTATATTGAAAATTCATATTACAGAGGAGATGTCACCATTTGACAAAAGCTCATGTATCTTGAAAATGAAAATTCTGGTGCTGCTATAGAGATTTCTGATGGGATGATGAGTTGGTCATATGCACAGCAATGCATTCTCTTGAATCTTATCAGATACAGTGTAACATTCTGAATAGAATAGTAGAGTCTTAAGTTGGAAGTGGTTGTAATGTATTACTATTAGCTAGGCCATTTCCTGGTTTTTCTAAATGTTTTCCTCTCCTGGCACATCATGTGGGTAGGTTTGGTCATGATGGGGAGGAGAAAAAAAGGAAACATTGTTCAATAAAAGTTACATACGTTATTGAAGAAGTTACAAGCAGAGGTCTGTAACTGATGTTTTGTGAAAGGCCAGGTTCAGACCTTACAAGTGTAACTTTAATATGTACAAGAGTTTCTTCTTTCTGCATGGTAACAAGAATTCCTGTTGTATATGCTGCTTATTGGTGTGTGTGTGTGTGTGTGTGTGTGTGTGTGTGTGTGTTCATGTCTCTGGATTCCTCAAAAGCCAAGTTTTTAATTCTGAAAGGCAGGTGGCAATGCATGCTTTCTTTATGCTATCCACCAAGAGGCCAGATGTGAGTGGTTTGGAGAGTTGACTTCTGAGGCAAAAGATGAGTCATATGTATCACATGTGTGAAGTCTGTGGTGCCTTTAGCTTTACTGCTGGATATTTTTTGGATTTATTCTGTAATGTTTATTATACTTCATAGAATGAGCTTGTGTATGTCAGGCTTAGAAAGATGGGAATGGCTTGGGCTGTTCAAAGTCCTCAGTTTCTCATTTGGGGTTATTTCCAGTCACCTGGCCCAGTAGTTCTCAAGCATTGCTATGCATTACAGTCATCTGGGGTATTTGTAAACCTCTAGAAGACCAGCTCCGTTTCTACTCAGCCACAGCCTACTTTTTCTAGATGATTCTCCTATATGCTGGCATTTGAGAACCATTAACTTTACTTTCCCTTCACTAAGTCGCCTGCAGATTTCCTGAAAACTTTCTAACCCAGTGTTTCTCAAACTTGGTTGTACATGGGAATTACCTGGGGGGCTTTAAACAGTGCTAATGTTTGGCTTTCACTTTCTGAATCAGTTTTAATTGACTTGCGGTGTAACCTGGGCAACAGGCTTTTGAGCCTCCCCAGGTAATTCTGATGTTTAGCCAAGTTTGAGAACCAAGGTTCTAACCCTATCAAATGAGATCACATGAATCTGTTTCCCTTTTCACCTTTCCTGGGCCTATAATTTTCTCCCAATCTATAAATTCCAGTGATTTTTATGGTCTGGAACCTATCTTCACTTATACCTGATCCAGATTCATGATTTAAATGTTCTAATCAGCATTTTAGTCACATGTTCTATTCCTACGAAATTGGTGAGCTTGCCTTTGTGCTATTTGAGGCATGTATCAGCATCACCAATGAAATTTGCAAAACATAGTCACCTCTGCTGTACCTCAGACCTGCTGGTTCTCAGAAGAGTGCATTTTACAAAGCTCAACAAGTGTTTTTATATCCTTGTTGAGCTTCTGTCCTTTTTTTGCTAATCCCGTAATCTTACCCAATTCTCTGTCACCCTCACACTGATTTCCTATGGTCTGCGCAACTTTTCTCCAGCTCAGTAGCATGTACTAATTATACTTTTCTGACATTATTTGTATGGAAAAATTATAAAACAATGTTAACTGGGGTCACTACAAATCTAACTTCTTTTTTGGCCTTTACTGTTTTCCATGAAACCAGGAAGGCATACTTTGTTTCCCCTCCTGGAAACCCTACCCTTCAAAACCTAGTAGTTTGAATTTCAACTTGGGTTCCAGACCACTTTCTTCACCACAGTCTTAATGCTTACAAAGTGCTTAGATATACTGAATTAAATCTTGTTAGACCACTGCATACTTAACAGTTGGCAACTAGTCACTTGTTGGTAACTATCTTGTAAACTCAATAGTAAACAGTTGTCAGGCTGGGGATTTAGCTCAGCGGCAAAAGCGCCTGCCTGGCAAGCGCAAGGTCGTGAGTTCAGTTCCCGGTACCGGAGAAAAACCAAACAAACAAACAAACAAAAAAAAAACAGTTGTCAACTGTGGGTCTCTTTCTGTGAGCCCTTATGTGCCAAGCACCGAGGGCTCATTTATTCAGAACAACTCCTGGGAAGGAGGTAGTGTTTCTCTCATTTTTACTTGCGGGGAAACTGAGGCACTGAGATGTTAACTAATTTGCCTAATTTTACCAAGACAGGTAGTGGTAAAGCCAGAAAGAAAAGCCTGATTCCAAGTCTTTGAACACAACCCACATTTACAGTTGCTGGACTAGAGTGTCTCCTATGTAGCTTTTGTAAGAAGAGAGAAAGAAGTGGGGGGTAGTTTGATCCACTGGTGGACAATGTTTTCAAATAGCATGTTGAGTTACTTCAAATTTTAGGTTTATAACCTTATAGTTGTGACTTAAAAGATTGTGAAAGACAATAATATGGAAGAGAAATGTATAGAGCTCCTTTGTACCTATTCCTCTCCCTTAATAAAATGGTAGTCACCATTCTGGGGGACCTCTTCCCTTCCTCCCAGTTTTTATTCACACAAAACTGGAATTCTGGCTGAGAGTTGGTTGTGGCAGTCTGTTTGCATTGGTTTCACTTCCCAAGAGTGGACCAATAGCAGTGATTCAGTCATGTCTTTGTAGAACATTTGAAAACCTCTTTTTATCTGCACTACAGTACAAGGATTATATTTAACAAATAGAGGTGGGATTTGTAAGATACACATCTTTCACTTCTTAGTTTAATGTGCACTTTATCAGTGGTTAAGTTCAGGCACATACTGGGACAATACCTAGTCAGGAAGTTTCCTCTACCCTCAGATATTGGAGTAAAATGAAGAGGAAGGCTGCAAGTTAATCTTGTAATTAAGTGATATCAAATGAGACTTTCCAGTTAAAGTCTACCTATGAGTTGCCTTTATAGTCCCATCTTAAGAGTCTTTGTATAAGTTTTGTTAATATGGAAGTCTTGGTGTCTGAGGTGGCAGAGGTTTGTTGCAT